TGGCATGAGCAGTCCTCTAGGTTTATTTCTGACTGCTTTCAAAGCAGCTGTGAAAAAAACGAATAGTAAAAGAAGTTGAACGAAGCGAACTCGGCAGGACTTTGGTTTCTTCCTCTCCATCCTCGCCTCTTTCCGCGAAAAAAATGGCTTAATTTCTAAAGAATCCTTGATTCTGGTTATGAAAATTGATTGCAGGAGAGGTGGAAGATATGGTCGACGAGGTGCAATGCGTGGTGGTCGTGGCGACGCCAGCAGTGCAGGGCGTGGTCGTGGCAGTGAGGCATTCCTATCTGAGCAGATCTCAGCTTTGAACATTGGTAAGTGATGGATTCCGGTCAGCGTCATGATGATAAATGATGAACTATGATCACTATCGTGATTTTTTAGGATGGCTGGCTTATCGGTAAGAAAAAGTCTAAGTTTGTAATATGAAAAAAAGAAATCGCTGATTATGAGATGGACTTACGGTTCCTTTTCTGTCCCGATTTCTGATTTCAGATCTAAAGTAATCGGTGTTATTATAATTTGGAAAAGAAGCTACAGCCTGGAAATTTTTTCAAAACTTTATTCGCTATAGAGAACGAGATTAACGTAATCGAAAATCCATTTTCAAATCTTGCTGTATCTTAATTTATAAGTTAAAGTCAAATAAAAATCAAGGCAAGTCAGAAATCTGGAATTTTATGATCTCGTTGTAACTCACTGACTCATTTCCTTTTGCGATTCTTTTACTTATTTTGGAACTGCCTCATCCTAGAATGCGTCAACATGTTGTTTTTAAGCAATCCTCAAAAGTGGGTGCCATCCGAGCTTTTGCCAGGGGCTGGTTGCTTTCGGCACTTGCCATTTCTGAAATTGTATGGGGTAAATAGTGGGGGAAGAAAATTCAAATTCAAAATTTAACATTGTGCTCTTTTACTCGAGGAACGAAAAAAATTTAGCTTTTAACCCTCCGCATTATTATATTACATTTTTCAGAAACAGTCTTTTAATCTTAATTTTAGTTGCTATATGTTTATGAAAGATGTAAGGAAATGAAAAAGGAAAATTTTGATTTTACTTTGTATATGTTTATGAAAGATGTAAGGAAATAAAAGAGGAAAATGTGAATAAGATTAAAATCCGAATGTTTCGGTCCATCAAGTCGCATACATTCCTGTTTAGTGCTGCAACTGCACCTCGTCAGTGTGACGGTTGCAGCGAAAGTAGCGTGCAGTGTGCTAAAAAAATGAAAAAGGAAAGTTAAAATAAAAAGGTTAAAATAAAAGTTGAAAATGCATTTTATAAGACATTGCCTCCACCATTACGTATGTTGAGCTGACAGATGTACCTGTAAAGTCTTTTCCTAAAAAATATTACAAGCAGTGAATTTGGGATTGCAACCTGAGGAAGGTCTTTAAGAAGGAGTGATTTTATTGAGTGATTTTCGAGGGCTCTTTTAAAGAATCCTTGAAAAAAAAAAAAACAACTGCTTTAGATGATAATACAGCGGAAGGTTATGGTTGTCCACCATCGTATGTACTGGAAAATTATCGCGATCAGGCTGAGACAGTGGCTGGAGTTTCACAGCATACACGTGGTTTTGGAACAGTTGCAGGTTAGCGACATTGAAGAAATACTTAATTTTACGCAAAATTAACATGTTCGAGATAATCGAAAGCGTGTTTTTAGCTTCACAGCAGGCTTCTCTAATTTTAGGGAATGTTGGGACAGTTGTTGTGAATAGATCTCTTCAGAACAACACCGGCGCAGATGGCGATGATGGTAATGCAACGCATACACTTCGTGGTAAGGCTTCCCCCTTTTAT